CTTCAATTAGAGACAGTCCTGCAATTGCAAATTCTTCACATCGCTGCTTTTCCTGCTAGTCTAATGTCATCTTTGTTCCACTTACATTCAACTGTAGCCAGCCAGTAAATATCCATTCATGCCAAATTATATCCACGTACTAGGCTATGTGGGTTATAGAGAGTTTATAAATGTGATAAAAGTTAAGCAGTAGTATTATACTTCAATTGCCTGGATTTTGTTATGCCCCTTTATTTCTTGGAGATTTGTGTGTGCCTTTTCTGTGAATTAAGTCATAGCAGAAATGCACATTTTTTTAGAAACAAATCCTTAAAAGTATTCAGTATAGTTACATATTCTGTATTGCCAAAAAGTCAAACATGGCACAGGCAAGAGCTATTTAAAGTGATTTAATTTTTATTTGCACGCTCAATGTGCGTTAACAAATTCAACATACAAGATAGCATTACATAATGTAGATTAGCATACAGCATTATGCAGTTTCACACATTTTGAGTTAGTTTTTTTGCCTTTTTTCTTTTTTCACACAAAGTTGTAACTGTCCAAGTTAATTTTACAATAGAAGACACAAGGTAAAGAATAACCACATCTGGGAGATTTTACAGTGAGTCCGCTGTCACTTACTGTCTATTTTACATTTGGAAAAAAAAAAAAAATCTGCACATCTTCAGTTTCCCATTATTCCAGAAGAGTGTTGGAGCTACTCATGTCTGCCCAATAGCCTAAGTCTATTTACCCTGAGCACGTTTCCTTGACAAGAAGTTCATCTTTCCTTTTAAACTAAAGGAATCTTGAGGAGACCATCTAGGCTTAAGCATACTTTTCACACTGAAGGAAAAAGGGAACTTTTTTTTGTTAGTACGTTCTATTTAAATGTTTGGAGTGATGTTGGAAAACATGATTCTAAGGAAAAATAGTGACAGTTCCTGAACTTGAGCAATAAGATTGCTTAGTGCAAAAATCAGGATTGAAATAGATCTACACCAGTTTCCAAGGGAAAATTTGTTCTCTGGTTTGTGGCTGAGAGCCACTAACAGAGCGTGAGCGATAATGGATTTAAGACAAAGATAAAATCTACTGTAACCTCAGGCAGAAGTCCTCATAATCAGGATCAGTAAAGCACAAGTGGAAGTCCACACTTCAGTTTGCACTGCAAGGCTGAGAAATAGGGCTTCAGCTTCAATGCAACTTCTGTTGCTAAAAAGACACTCTGCCTTGAAGTTCCAATGAGTAATTAGCTAGAAGTGAGAAAATTCAACTTTCCAAAAATAATTTCTTAGGAAGAGATGCCAAAATGTTACTAACAAAGTGCTGACCGTTTGCATGAAGAGCCCTCCCAGCAAGAGTTGCTTTACGTTGTGGTTGGAAAGGAAACTGAGTAAGACTTGTTCAATTATTCTACTTTCATTAGCAAGAAGGTGGAAAGGATCATTTTTCCAACAGGGCTCTAAAATTCAGTAGTCAAGTCCTGTAAATAGTTAAATGATCTTAAAAATTTTTTACTTATAATACATTATTTACATTCCACAGGGCACAGAACTGCCTGCCTGCCTGGAAACAACTAAATGCATACTGAAAACTTGCAGTCTTCTGTGTGCCTCTTTGCAAGCTCAGTTCTGCTTTATATTTCTATTGTAGCGTTCAAAAATAATTTGCATTTTTACAGCTTGTTATAATTATTTATGCTCAGCTTGCCAACAATGTTTACAATTAATTATTTGCTGCCACGTATTATCCTTATATCTTTTCTGGTTTGAATGTAATAAGAAGCCAAATCAAATTACTTGTCAAGATACTACTGTCTTGTACAAAAAAATCCTTAGGCTAGTATTTCAACAGTGAGATCTAATGCAACTACTTCCAAACTTCTCTTGTTTTTGCAGAACTTCACTCTATGAACTTCTGTTCAAAACTAGTGACTATTCAGGGTTAATAGCCTGACGTGCTACAGGTCACATTTATCAAGTAATATTTTTACATTTCAAAGGTGACAGTAAGCATATTCTAATTCTCAAGAGTCATATCCACTATTTAAGAGCTAGCTCAAACTGCTTTGAAATTCTAAAAATTAACTTCTTGAAGAGTTTGACACATTTTGTAGTAAAAAACTTTGTCCTCTATTTACTCTTTTTGAGAGATGGCTCTCGCACAACTACAAGATCATATACAATACAAGTTGACTCAAGTATGAACGAAGAAAGGCATGTTTAACTTTTTCACTTAAAACCTCTCTCCCCAAGGTACTTGTCAGATGTCAGATATGTTATGCCGTTATAATTTACCAATCATGTAGAATTTCAAATTTAATGTTTGAAAGAACTAGTGAGAATTTCCTTAACAATCAATGACATATGGTCTTTTTTTCCCCCCCCCCCTTGAGCCCTTTTTGCACAGACAGGGTTAAATACAATGTAACAAAGACTGGAGTTTCCTGAATTCTGATACTGTGTAAGATATGCCCCTGCTAATTTCCATGTGGCAAAAGTAAAGTGATCAGTTCCTTAGTGTTTTCATTTTAGTTGCCAATCTTTTTTTTATGTTGTGACCTTATAGCTCCATAACAAGTATATCACAAATGGAAATATTCTAGTACCTGACTGCAGAATTATTTTTTTATTTGATAGGAAGAGCCATTTTCCTCTGTATTTTCCTTTTGTACTAGTGCAGAATTCTAGACCATCTCTGTATGGCAACGCAGTTGGTACTCCCAAACCAGCAAAGAACAGAACTGCAAGAATCAATGGGCAGGCAAACTATCAAGAAACTAGAGGTTAAACAGCAGAATTCAGAAACTTTGGAAGAAGCCTAATAAAGAGAGGCCAATTTTGGTGAATACCAGCAAAGACAGTTCGGCACAAACACAACTTCCATAGTGACAGATAATTGTATTAAAATCTGCAACTTGATATTGGTAGTTATACTAATTTCAGTTTGTATTAGGCATGCAATAGCGTGATTACACTGTTATATATATTTGTGGTATTTTTTAATTTAATGCTCTTTAGAATTTTAGTGCCCTGCAAAAATCACATCACTAGAGAACCAATCAGCTGCTTGTTACGAAAGTTTAGTTCTACAGCTAAAACAAGGTTTAAGTCTGTTCTATGAGTCAGCTGTCGCTGCCGCAGCCTCTGCTAGTATTCGCTCAGGCTGTGCCATTTGGCAACTGGCTTTCTAGGGTTCTCGCACACCTCTCGCCAGTGTTCCACACCACCTGCGGTGATGCTGTGTGCTCCCAAAATCAGCCGTCCCACCACTTCATTTTTTGTGGTGCGGTCAAAATCGATAACTAGAAATTCAATGCTGATGTCAGGAAGGAGATCAACGGGAATATCATAAATGAAGGATTCATTGAAGACTGGATTCAAAGTGCACTTCTTCACGTGAGTCTTCTTTTTTGCTATACGCTTTCTCCCATAGTAAACATTCACCTTAACGTAGGGATCTGCCAGAGAGGAGAGAGAAATAAACTAATAACACAGCCCAGTAATGCTTCTGGAAGTAATGGATAGGATTTAGCTTGGTGAACTTTAGCCACCTAAAAGTTAATCGGGTAAGTCTAAGCTACTTGCTTCAGGCCCTCCAGTAGGGGCATATTGTTTGCTTGTTTTCCCACTGCAAAGCAACCAGTTTTCAAATAACTATATAGCACTTCAAGGTCTTCACCAGTTTGAACGTTGTACAGGGGTTGGGGCAAACAATAGTCACATGTAAATTGCAGTAATTAATCCTAGAAGTAGCAAATGTGTAGCTTTTTAGTGAGATCAGTGCCTGACTGGCCAAAATGTTTCAATTTCCACAGTCATCCCTAACAAGAAGTATTTTTACCCTATTTCAGGAACTTTAGCACAAAGTGGCAAGACAGTTTCAACGATTTGAAGATGGACACCAATTATCGTAGAAGGTACTGAAAAGGAAGAACATTTGAAAAAACCAAACTTCATTTGTCCATCAGCCTCACGTGAATTTTTCTCTCACTCCGCTTACTCTTCACGTGGATGCTTTTTTAGGATTAAAATTAGGATTCTTGGACCACAGAGCTTTTTTTCATGTAACAGAATTTCTGAAGCTGGGTGTCACTTGCCTACATGACACTGTGGCTAATTTTTACTTCTTTATCTGTCTGAAATAATGATCTTATACATCATATAAAGATCATGTTAAGAAATTAATTCAGCCTTGCAACATTCTGCAGATAGAAGAACAGTTGCTAAAAAATTTATCTTGGAACTGGAGGCCACACATGGAAAGCTTTTTTTTTTTTTTTTTTTTTTTTTTTTTTTTGAGAAAACCAGAGCAAAGTTTAAGGCCCACAATAGAGAGTTAAGGCTAGTCTGCATTCTTTCTGAGCTGTACAAGAGAAAACTGCAAAAACAACTAAATTTGCTGTCAGTCAGGCTATGCTGAATCTTAAAGTGATTCCAGCCATTTTCACACAATTCTGCAGGAAACCCTTAACTTGCTAGGGCATTCAGGAATCTGAGATGCTGTGGGTGCACAATAGGAAAGCCAGAACTGTTGTTCTTACTCATACAGTGGAGCTTCCCAGCAAAAAAAGTAACAGAAGTGTTTGTAATGTCATATGAATTTACTCCTCTCCATTTTGCGTCTATCTTTTCTCCCTCCTTCTCCTAAGGGCAGGATTTGAGGTACGTGCAAGTAAGCAGTGGAACTGCAGTTCCTAGTGAAAAACTGCTGGTACGGGCAATGATGATTGATAACAGCATAGAGGCACTGAGCTTCCACACAGTTTTCCCAAAAAAAGCATGGAGATACATGGGATTTGGAAAATGCTATCTTCATAAACAAACTAGATGATGCCACAAAGATACAATTGCTGATATCACAGTAGGGGTGATCTGGTTTTGTTTGTTTAACCATCTGTTGATTTGTATTCTCTTTTGTCACTTGTTGTGATCCATCACCCTTAGAGTTTGAAGAAAATGGAAAGTATGCAAAGAAAACGTCCAGATAAGACAGGTGAAAAGATCTGAAAGTGAACTTCTAGTGACTGAGATTCCTCTCTCAAATACTGTTACATATCAGAATGCACATTATTTTTCGCCTGTGACACACTTCCCACCCAACAATCAATAGATAGCATAGCCTGTTTGTAAAGTGGATTATTTCCCTCTCTTCTTGACCCAGTTGTATTTTAGCTATGCTTAGATGTTCTTTCCTATTGCAAGCAACAATGTAACATTTTGCTAACCACCCCTAAATTGTATAATGTGTCCAGTGCTTCAGTCAAGCTATAAATTGCCCTCTGTGCGTTCATGCGTGACTGTGTGAAGCCGTGTGCAACCACGTTTAGAGCTGGAGAAAATAGCTTCTACCTGAGAGGCCAGTGATATCCATCTTTGGCAAATGCCTGGCTTTCAGCACCACAACAGTCATTCTCTGCGCCACAGGCTGATAAGACAATGAGACTTGCAGCTCTCCTCTGCTAATGCACTTCTGTGAAAAAGCAGCAGAAACAATTTATTAGGACAACGGGTCTTATAAATATGAGCAAATGTTGGAGGTCACCAGAATTTCCCTTTGCTTTATGCCTAGGAAGTTGGAGAATTAAGTGGAGTCCATTTTAAATACAAGAAATCAGGGCAAGTGCCTTGGGCACATGGAGTGACTGGAGAAAGAACAGAGTGGCGTTAAGCAAATCATCCTGTACTCCACACCCTACGCCTGTTGAGCGTGGTAAGCACCGCTACAGTCTTTTCCCTTGAATTCTGTGATTCCATGAGGGCAAACGTGGTAAGCAGAGGAATGGCTCTGGCTATCTTTTGAAGTCGGGTGCCAGAGACATCTGTGGTTTTTAGGAGCTTAAGTTTCATTGACTTTGGGTCAAGCTTAGATTGCTGACCACCTCAAATTCTTTCGGCATGCTTCAAAAATTTCACCATCGGTCTAGCCTGCAACAGTTGGAAGATAAAATGGATCTACTCCATTAACTTGCTCTACATCCTTTCAAAGAATATCACATTAAGATTATGATTACTAGTTTTGGTTTCCAGCTGGCAGTCATTGACTTTCATTGAGATGTCACTAATTTAGATTAAGTTTATCCGCTATCAAGGAAAACAGTATTAGCAATGGGTATGAAATTGTGTGGTGTCAGCAAATTAGGATTGATAGCAAAACTACTGTGACAATTCAGATATCTGTACGATACAGTTCTGACTGTTAGCACCTTGCCCTCCCCCTGTCCCCATTAGAGTCTGGTACCTTTAACCGTGCAGTATGAATGGAAGAAAATATCATTGGTCCCAAAGGAAGGGATTCTCCTCACTTCAAACAGGTAAACTTCAAACAGCCAGCTATATGTTCTGGTGACCACCCAAGTGGTGGCTCAGTTCTTTTAAATACTATTACTCAGATTAGTTGGTAATAATTATCAGTGTAAACCTAAACATGGGAAATATTCATTATAATTGTGATTTTATTTATTTTCTATTTGAATAGTTCCCACGTATTTAATTTGCAGACAATGTAGTCACAATTTCTTGGCCCAGGAGGAAACGTTAAGAACTTAACTCCTTCAGTGCACCAGAATACAATGGACAAAGATACTAAGACCAATACATGTAAGTGGCAAAGAGGACATCTCTCCAATTCCTCTTCCTGTTTAAATGTATGCTATTTGATGGATCTAACTATGAAATTGGCCTGGCTTTAGCAAGGGGTTGAACCAGATGACCTCCAGAGGTCTCTTCCAATCTAAATTCTGTGTGACACGTTGTGAGGAAAAGGAACAAGCGTGAACAGGAAGATGACTGACAATAACAGAGAACTTGTCCAGTCTGAACAGGAAAAAGGTAGAGTAATTAGGTGATAATACCATAATAGCAGGGAATCAAATGTCGGAAGCAGTGGCAAAATCTAGGAATGGCATAAAACGTTGCATTGTAATTTACTTTGGGTAGCCTTTAAATAAGTTAAATGCTGCATATGGTAGAAAAAACTTTTCAAATAGAGTGCAGCCACACTAGGGCATGACAAAATATTTTATAGAGCCCAGCAATAATTTGCAACAGGTTAGAGCAATAACCTGAGGCCTAACGCCCTTTCCTATTGAACCTGGAAGACAGGTAGCAGAAATAAACCAATCAAGAAATTAAAATTGGAATTTCCACATTAGCCTCAGACTTGAGCAAAGTGTATTTTCTGAGGGTGGAAGTCATCTTTCCCAATATAAGCATTTATTTTTTATATGGACATCTCATCTTTCTAATTACAGCACTAGATATTAAGAGTGGAATTCATTTCACCTAAATGTAGATGTCTACATTTGTCACAACCCCCTTAGACACGCTTTATCCTCAGTGGAAAGAGAGTGAGTCATTTAGGGTGCGATTCATCTGGGCTGTTTTATCTTTATCTACGCCAGGACAAGAGAAATCATGTCAGACTCCACTGACTATTTCAACTTACCTCCATTGACTTAGGGCTTACAGTAACAAATTCAAATATAGATACTTACAAATGTAGGTGTCTAAAATAGTCAACTGATTCCCTCTCTAAGTGAGATTTATCTTTGCAGAGCAGACTAGGTATTACTCAGAATATGTATAAAAGTTATTCAGAGCACCCTTATCTCCAGCTCTCCCCTACAAACACGTGACATGAAAGAATGCTGGACGCTGATGAACTTCCCTTTATTTTATCAGCTCTTTTACCTGGAGATGGGGGTTTTGCCTTTTTTCTTGCCCTCATCAGTTGTAACATCCATTATTTCTATGACTCTACAGTGATTACATATATATGAAGTCTCTATAACCATAGTGCAGATAACTAACTGCCTAAGAGTACAACCATATATTACTATTAATATTTATCTGGGGAAAAAGGAGTGTCGTGACTAAGGATTTGTGGTATTCCTGCTTTAGCACTAGACACTGAGGCTCCTGGATCAAAACAACTGGGATCAAACACAGTGCATGTAGTCTTATGTCACGCTACATGAAGTTACTTACTTGTATGTTCCTTTTGAGGATCTCTCTGGTCAGCTGAACCTTTCCAGTGCTTGGATCCACCCCTGCAAGGGGCACCATGACTTCTCCGATAACATCATCTCGAGAAAAGCGATCAAAGCTCAGCACCAGGAAGTGAAGCACCAAATCCTGGAGCTGGCTATAGGGGATCCCATAGAAGGTGAAGGTTTCATCAAAGACTGGGTCTAGAGTCTTGCGAAGCACACGAGTCTTCACTCGATGCCTTTTATCAGGAAGAATTGTCATCTTGATGTAAGGGTCAGAGCTCTGAGTGTGCTCATCCATAACTGGCAGCCCATGAGCCTCCTGAATGGTAACTACCAGTGCTTTTTTAGGGAAGTTGTAGTCCACTGAGAAAGTCAGTTCACCCAACATGACGTCCTCCCCTGGAGAAGATGGGGAGGAAGTTTTACTCCCTCCTGGAGTGAGGCTTTGATCTGGACTTAGTTCATCTCCGTAATCTACTTTTATTGGGAGCTGATCAACATGGAGGGCTGCATTTGGCCCATCGGGGGCCTTATCTGAGCCTATTAAACCAGATTCAGCAGCATCCAGCAAAAGGTTTCCCCTTCCAGGCTCCTTAGGAGTGCCGTTCTTGTCTCTCCGGATTCGGTTAATTTTCTTCTTGTTACTCAAGGTCTCTGGATAGATACTGATGCCTTTCAACATGTGAATAAATTTGTAGGGTGGAGTTTTGTGCTTTTTCTCTGCTTGCTGGTGACAGCATGTCCACACAAAAACTGTTACTGAGACAGAAACCACAAGGACTGTAGCACCAATGAGGCCTGCCACAATTGGAGAGACATCTGTAAAGAAGATAAAGCAGTCGTGAAAGAGCCTGTAGCTTTGCAATTGCTGTATCCTTGCAGGACCTAGTACATCTGGAGAGAGAATCTGTACAGTATTATAATGTTCTTAGTTCAATAATCTTGACATCAGAGTTTCCCAGGAATAAAAATTTACTTCCTTTAATTTATGTTCTGCTATGTGGGAGACGTTTTATGCTCCCAACACATGCTTGACCTATGCTTCACTTGCTAAGAATTTCAAACATTTGATTGCCTTATCTTCCCAAATCAAATTCATGTGTTACCAGCATAAGCACAGCTCCCACACAAGTGTTCCAAGTGAATACAGTTTCTTGGTCTGCAGGAGGGACTCCTCTTTTATGTCCTGTTCAGAAACATTACACGATCCTATTTTAATTTCAGGGAATAGTAAATATGCACATAACACTTTTTAGAATCTGGAATTATCCTTTATTAATTAACAATTAAAAAAATCACTTGGGCCTAAAAAGGGGAATTGTTTTGTCCTGTCCCCTTACAACAGATACTGGGCCACTGGTACAAACTAAAGACAGAGAGGTGTAAAGTAGGAAGCAACCCCTCCCCTTCACCCCCCAAGTTAAATTGTCTTGAGAATTTATACAGAGATTTTGATGGAAGTGCTGGAACCAACAACTCACTCTGGGAAAGTATGCTATGCAATAATGAAACGATCACAGGAGTCCCATTGTGTCTCATCAAAATGTTGAGATTGCTCTCTCTAACTGTTCCTGTGTGTTGAATTCAAAATTTTGCTGCTTTTTTATTTCGGTGTTATTTGTATTCTTACAGATTTTTGATGATCCAGCAGCAGCTGACAAGTTTTTCCAAGCTAGCAGCTATGAAGACTCCCTTTTCATGTGAAAAAACAATGTTCAAAAACAAAGGACATACAATCCTGTATTTGGATTTAGGAATTACCTGATATTTACTAGAGCTTATGTTAACAGTCTTCTTCAGCAATGACAAACCATAATAATAAGGTACTGTGTTCATTTTTAGTAACCATGCTAATTATTTTCTATGTATAACAGTTGACTTTAGGGCAGTATTATTAAACACAGAATGAAACCAGTAGTTTTGAGCTCTGTGGTACATTATATTGACATACATACTCAAGTAAGTCCAGCTGAGGGCCACCAAGATGATTAAGGAGTTGAAGATGATGCATGAGGATGAGGAGAGGTTGAAAGAGTTGGGTTTGTTCTCTCTTAAAAGGGAAGGCAAAGGGAGAGATCTTTTTGCTGACTTCAGTTTCCTAATGGGAGGTTATAGAGAGACAGAGCCAGGCTTTTCTCAGAGATGTATAGCAAAAGGATGAAGGGCAGCAGACACAAATTGCACCAAAGGAGATTCCAATTAGATACTAGGGGGGAAAAAAATCACAGTGAGGGTGGCCAAACACTGGAAAAGGGATGAGAGGTTGCGGAACCTCCATTCTTGGGAATACTTAACACTTGACTGAGCAACCTATCTATCTCTTCTTATGGATGCACCACATTAAATTAAACCTGCGTAGTGACATAAAAGTGGTGGTAAAAAATGGCGGTCACTGTCAGTGCCTTATCTTCACTAGTGCTCCTGCTGGTGAAATTGCACTGGTGCTAGCAATACTGAAAGGTTTTCAGCGAAGGAGATTATCGTAGAGAAGATTTCTCATTTTGCAGGCAATGCATTATTTCGCTGCTAATCAAAACAAGACAAAAAAGGCAGATGGTTACATTATGAAATGTTCACACACTAATCGTGGGTAGTTTAATAGACTA